GTTGGTCCGCTGCGCTCGAATAGCGCGCGCTGTACGGGTTCTCGCTGTGACAGGGCCGTCAGGTCGGCCGCGGCGCTGTAGTTCGGTGCGGCGACGGTCGGGGGCGGGGCTGCCGGCGATCGGGTCTGCTGCACCGTGTGGTGCGACGGCGTCGACGTGCGCTGGGCGCCATGTGGGGTCTGGCTCCTTTGTCCGGTCCGCGACTTGGCTCTAGCAGTCTGCGCAGGCACCTGGAAGGGAGATGTCTGGGACGGGGTAACGGTTTGTGCGGGCTGAACAGTCGGCGAGGGTTGTTGGTGTTGCTGGTGCTGCTGAAACTGCCTCGCTGCTTGCTTGGCGAGAGTCGGCGACCGCGTGCTGGCGCTCAGGGCGGTGTCATCGGATGCGCCTTGCTGCCAGCTGCTTGCGTAGTTGACCTGAGCTTGCGTCTGTTCGGCGTCCGGCGCCGCTTGGGTGGGACCTGAAGGCAGGCTGCGGCGACCGTTTGTCTGCCGCGGCTTCGGCGGCGACACGACGGCAGCTTGTACTTCAGAGTATGTTTCCTCGGCAGCTGGCGGCGGTGCTGGGTATGTCATGCTGGAAGGGTTGATGACCGGCACGTCGGGGTGGTTCGTCTGGGGGAACGATAGGCCCCCGGAGCCCGTGTTGAAGTAATCTTGTGTGCTCAAGTCTGCTGCTGGCGTGACCATGCTGGCCACGGGCATGTTCGAAGTGTAGTCAATGGTCTCGATGTCGTCGGGCTCTGGATCTTCGACCTCCTCAGGCTCTGTGTCTGGTTCGACTCGTACAGGAGACTTTCTTGGCTTGGCAGGCTTGCCGCTGCTCTCGCCCTTGGGAACGCGAGTCTGCTGGAGGGGGTATTCGCAGCTGATGTCGGCGGCGATGCAAGCGTCACATGACGGTTTTTTACGGTCGCACTGTTGTTGCGTCAGTAGCAAGCTCATCAACACTGAACGTGAACATAATGGCGTACCTTGATGCGGCTGGAGCGGCACGGCGTGCAAGCCCCTCGCGTGAGCTTGGGCTTCGCCGCCTTTTTGCCGCCTTCAGCATTGCCGACAGCTACGGTCGGCTCGACGCTGCTCGCACCGGGCTCGACAGCGGCTTCGCCGTTCGCTGGCTGCGGGGTCTGCTCAGTTGAGCTCTCGCCACCACTGGGCGTCTCGGAAGCAGCCTGGTCCTTGGGGTGGACGATGCGAAGACGCTCGGCGCCGTACTTCGCGAGCATGATGAGCGACTCCTTCTGCAGGTCCGGCGACTGGTTCGCAAAGATGCTAAACTGGTCAGTCGACAACGTCTCAGGCTCGACCCCGCCCTCGGACAGCAGCCGGATGGCCGTCTCGCGGCGTCTGGTCGCCTCGGCCGGCGGCACGTTGAGAAGCGCGTGCGAGTGCACGCTGCTCTGAACCACCTCGTCGGCCCTCGTCTGGGCTTGTGTGTCTCCATCAGCTCCGTCGAGCGCCGCAGGGACCATAACCGCAGTAGTGGCGGCGTTCTGGCCGGCGTCTGACTTGCTCTTGCGCTTCCGCTTCGTCGACGTCGCGCCGTCGGCATCTGATTTGCGCTTTCGGGGCGTCTTCTTCGTTTGGCCGGCTGCCCCTCCTTCGCCTTCGTTATCATGGCCGTTCCCGGCTGCGGCCTTTGACCTCCTGGGCGTCTTCTTCGTCGTCTCGGTCGTCTCGGCGGTGGCGGCGGTCGTGGGCATCGGCGGCGGCGGCGGTCGGAAGTATTCGGCCATCTCTTTAACCGTCTTGTGGAAGGGCGTGTGCTCGTACTTGACGGAGATGGCGCGGGCGCTCTTGGAGAAGGCCACGGTCAGGGAGCCGCGGCAGTCGAACGCCGGGCGTGCTGTGCGTGAGTTCAGTCAGCTTGACGACGCGGGCAAGGGGCGCAAAAGGGGGTGTGCAAGGACTTGGTACCGAATATGGCCATCTCGGGATCCTTCTGGCTGTAGTCGCCAATGAGGCCCTTGTCCGGGTTCTTCTGGTGCTGCCTCAGCCAGGCTGCGAGCGAGTGTTTGCAGGCATACGTGACGGTCCATCCTTGGGGCCCGCGTGAAATGTCGCGTACGGCCCAGGTTGCGCCGTCGACGGCGCCCAGAAGCTCGACGATGTGGCTGGCCACGGACCGCTGCAGCGAGGGGTCGTCTTGGGGCTGGTTGGCGAGCGCGTCGTTGACGCGCACCGTCCTGGCTGCCGTGGGTGCGATTGCCGGGACAGGCGGCGGCGCCCCGTCCAGTGCCGGGTCGACATTGGCATTAGCGGGCGGTGCTGGTGTGTTGTTGTCGGCACTGACTAGAGTGAACTGGACTGTGTTGCGAATGTCAAAGGTGACGGAGACGTGCTCGGCGCGCGTCGGGCGGACACTGTACTCAATGGTGCGACGTAGGTGGTCTTGAATCTGATCGGGCTGCTGTATCTGGATCTTGTTTGTGTGCGTGTCGTCGAGTCGCGAGGATGGCGCAAGGCCAAGGCGGGCCTCTGCCATGATGCCGCTCCTGTTGGCGTTCTCTCCACCGCGAGCGCGACGGCAGAGAAGCCGCGTGAGTTGGTGCCTGGCGGTGGGCGATTGCTGGTCGTGATCTGGCTGGTCAACCCAGAACGAGGCGATGTCGACTGTTGGCGAGCGGACATGGGCAGAGAGCGCTCCGGCTTGGGGTCGTCGGGGTGAGGGTGTGGGAGTGATGTTCGTGGGGGGTGGTTGTAGCGACATCTTGTGATTGCTGTGCCGATCTGGCAGACAAGCTGATGTCATCACGTGATGAGTGTTACCAAACCCAGGAACGTTCACAGCAGCGTGGCATTGACCTCTACAGCCAACTCAACACTTGATGCTTGGAGGTCAGACTGTTCAAGCAGTCGGTGTTGTATATGAATGAAATATCACCATTCTTACTCTGGCAACGGTTGTTGAAGGGGGTATGGAAGGAGTGCTGTGCTCCACGGCAAGGCTGCAACCTTTGACAGACTACCTAAGGTACCTAGGTGCCTACCTACCTACCTGCCTACCTGCCTACCTACCTACCTACCTAGGAAAGCACCAATCGTGCAAGGACTGCTGCTCCCACGCACTCGAAATACTCTCATGATAATCTATCTATTCTGCTCTGCCTTCTATCTTTTTCGAAGCCAATGATGGAGTCGTTGTCTAAAACGTAGCACGCCGCCGAATAGCTCTATCTGAGTCCCTTCAGAAATCATCTATCCGCCATCATCCCGAACTCCAAGGATACCGCCTCATTTTTCCTGGGCTGACCTTTTCCAGGCGCCTTCTCATCGTATCTATATCCACTTCGCACTAGACGAACATCACCGGGGCCGCTCCCTGATATTTCTGAAACATCTACATGCGGTAAACATTCAGACCAATGTCGCGGCATCATCGTTATTCTCAGACTTGCCCTGAGTCTGCGTCTTAGGCATGCCCCGCATCTCAAACGATCTGGCGTCCTTGCCTGTCATCTGCGCGACGCCAAAGACTCTGCCTGGATGTGCAACATTAAGCAGAAAGATGGCAGCGCTCATAATCCTGAGAACAAGAGCCAGTCAGCCACAAAGCCCAGACTAGAAACGGCAGAGTTCAGACAGGCGCCGGAGACTTACGATGACGCGAGAGCGATGAACTTGGCCTCATTGCGGAACTCGACGCCGTGATACCCATCCTTGAGCTCGACGATGCGGTACGCGCAGCGGATCAGGACGAAAATAACAGCCAGGAACAGGAAGAAGAGAAAGACCTTCATGCGCCGCGTAACCTCCTGCCCGTGCTTGCGAAAGTACGCAATGAGATAATCGGCGAAGAGACACACGAACGTCGTCAGCGCGATCACCTGGATGCTGAGGCCGGCGAGGGAAATGTCCACCCCGGTCTGGACCTCGTCCTCCTCGGTGCCGACGGCCGAGAGGGCGCCCCCCGTGGCCTGCAGGACGAGGGAGATGATGTCGGCGGGAATGAAGATCAAGTAGAACACCCGCGGGTCGAAGCGGGATATCGAGCGGTCGCTCCAGTAGATCCTGGTGAGATTGAATGATCAGTCCTGCCAAAGGCAACATGAACGACAGCAACAAGGAGTCGCCGGCTTACATCTGAGAGAGAAGTATGTAGATTGCTGAGCACAAAAATACGGGAGCAACAGTGATACAAACTAACAGCTAGAGTCAGGCTCCTGCCATGTATTGCTATACGCGAGTCGAGAGACGGCACTCACTGATCTGCATAAGAAATGCCTCGAAGCTGAAGGGGTTGTGGTGCAGTATCAACCGGCCCACGTAGCCGACGATCTCGAGAATGCACCCGGCTGCCATGCAGCTCGCATATGTCCAAGCTTTATAGTGAAACCCCTGAATGGTGTGCAGGACCATGGACACGCCGAACAATGTGATGAAGACCGTGTTCGCCGCGATCGAGGGCTGATATCGTAGGATGCTCCATTCCAACGGACAGAGGTCAAGGGTGCAATTGGCGTCGGCGCCAAAGGGGATCAGGTTTGGCGGAGGAGTTGAGACCATGATGTTCGAATACCTGTGCCCTTGAATGGTTGCTGATGGAGGCGAATAGATCGTACTTGATGTAATCTCGTCGAAAGGTGATCGAAACTTCGGTATGATTAACAATATCTTGTTATTTTCTGCTTGGCTCGTTTAGTGCCAAACATACGACTTCTATCCTCAATTCTAGACGGAACCACGTCTTCTTATTAGTCCATCCATCGACGCCGGTGAAAGGCGGATACGTCGGCAGTGGCCAAGCGGGTCGTCGGTCAAACAGAATGACGACCGCCTCCGTTCGGATGACCCACGTAACGCCAGGCTTTCACTCGATATTGATACATGCGCCTATACGAAGTCTCAAGGCTCAGCCCCCTCAAGCGCGTTGATTGTGTTGTCCCTTGGCGAATGAAGCCTATGTAGGTAGGTATGGAAAGGGGGCAAGGGCAAGGATCCTGAATGGTAATGCAAATAACGTTTCATAGCCACAATGTTTTCGGATTCCGTCGAAAGCCGGGTGGGTCACTGACGAACTAAACTTCGACAGTTCTCAATGATTATAGGGCTACTATACGAGCAGGCGTTCCTTGCATAGGTAGGTAGAGGGCCAGTGAGCCTTGTATGAAGGACCGTAGCCAGTGCCGGCCGGTGCTCACTGTCGGAACTCGGAACATCTTCCTTCTCGCCACAGTCCATGAAGGACAAGGTACTAAAATAAAAATCTCATCGGCTTCATCATCGTGCCTGCGTGAGGCAAAGGATGGTCGAGCTCACTAAATCGTAAGTAAATGTCGGTCGCGGTCTCGCGGTTCACGAATCGGCCCCGCTACCTCGGAATCCTTCGTAGGACTCGACGGAGGGGATGCTGTGCCAGGGGCAACATACACTTCTGCGTGCGTCACCAATGTCAAACACCGGGCACTTCTCGTGCCATGAATTACATCTATTTATTGGGCGCCAGGGTGAGAAATGGCAGAGGAAAGGCTATCCCCAAACTGAAAAGGCTGTCGCGTGAGCATTCTGTAGCATGGGAATCGAGAGCATTCGGCGCGGGCTGCGCGAGTCGTGAAACGCGGACTTGGGAAGTGTGGTGTGGATAGGCGGCGGCGGCGTTGGAGTTGCGCGGGCTTCGGTGTTCAGAGCCTTTTGCTTGCGCGGTTGCACAGCAGCCGCGCAATGGCTAGGGATAGGAGGAGTTCAGACCAGAGCCATGACGTGTGTCATTGGGTGGAAAACAGGGTGCGGTCCATGCTGACCCTACCTACCTACCTTAGGTAAGTAACCTAGAAGGCAGATGAGACGGCACTGATATGCAGGATCATGTGTTGAGCCTCATGCGGACAGGGGCTTTCAACCACGACCAGGCAACGAGCGAACAACCATGAACGACGGCCGGATGCCACTGACTAAATTTGCGAAATGGAAGCTACGATTCGTGGTCGTTATAAGTGTACATCATTGCAGGACTCGGAATCGACTAGTCTTGCTCTTCGAGACACCCTTCAACTTGAATACACGCCACATTGACACGTCAACCACGCAAATAGTGTTGCGTTCAGTATTAGATGTATTGCACTAACAGAAAAGAATTCATTGTAGGGTATCATAACCCCCGCCTTCCGCACCGCGATTCATCCAAGAATCCCCAAGCCAACAGTGCCGCTATTCACCTTGTGAACCTATACTCCACTCCTATTCTTATGGATTTCACACGCAACAAATGTTCGCAAAACCAGGCACACAAGGCGCGATTGCTTATTCTGCAATTGCCTACAACGTCGGATTCGCACATACTAATAATAAATCTTCTCGTCCCAAATGGGCGGTCGTGCGCCCTCGGCGTCCCACTGAAGCTTGTTCTTGTCGTCAAGCGTACATCCCTCGTCGGTGATGCCAATGACCTTGCTCGTCTGGATGATCTCATCACGGGAGACACCAGCCTTGTCCTCGGGGATCCACAACAGAGGAGTCGCGCTGGTGACGGAGGGAGGGAAGTAGGCGTCCTTCTCCACCTGCTCAGTATACAGCTGGTCGACATCGACGAGGTCGCGGGGCACCAGCGCACGGAGCGTGTGGTAGTCGGCGAAGATCCACGGCTTGAGCCAGCGTGTGATGATGTTGCCGCGCTTCTCGACAACGTTGTCGCCGTTGCCAGGAAGGACCTTCTTGAAAATGGCAGCCTTGGACTGTGTGCCAGCAGCGCCCTCGCCGTTGGTTCCGGCAGCCGCAGCCTCGACGTCACCGGTCAGGAGAAGCTCCTCCTCGACCTGCAGCGTACGGGGAAGGCTGTAGAGCAGGGGGTTGAGGGCACTGGCGAAAGTGATGTGGCCCAGGATGGTGAGAACGAGCAGGACAACGGCAATGACGACAGGGCCAGGGGCCTTCTTCACGGAGAACATGCCAATCATGCAAATTTCCGCGAGGTAGACGCCACAGGTGAGCTGCTTGAGCGCACGAGGGTAGATCAAGCCTCTCGTGTCAATGTTGGTATCCGTAACGAACAAGATGTTGTAGCGGTACGCCATGTAGAAGCAGCCAATACCGATTGTCGACCAGAAAAGCATGATGGGCGCGATCACGGCATAAAGCGATGCCTGGAATATCACGTTAGCACACATGTCCTGTGCCAGAGGCATCGAGTCCAAGACTTACTAATGACCGCAATGTTGGTGTAGACCGGCATGACAGACCCCCAGGAGATGGCGCTGAGCTGGGCCCACTTGTTGTACATGGATCGGGGGGTGCTCGTGAGGAACCTGTAGACCAGGGTGAAGATGATGAAGCCGACGACCTGGGAAATGACGCTAGCAGCGATACCCAGACCCTGAACGATGAAGTACGAGACGTAGAACTGGGAGGAACGGGGCAGAGCTTCGGAAAGAATGTCGAAGACAGAGCTAGGATCATCCACGATCTGCTGGGCAGCAGCCACGGCCGAGCTAGAGATCGTGGTGATGAGGAAGACCTGGATGAGCTGGAAGCAGAAGTAGGCGTTCTGAGTGAAGAGCTCAACACGCGAGGCAGAAGGCTCGCCAGCAATCTTGGCGCAGAGGCGCATGATGATGGGAACCAAGGCCATCAGGATCGCCATGGCCACACTGGGCAGCAGGCCACCGACCAGGCCCAAGATGATGTTGGGAATCTTGTCGAGCCACGTCAGGAAGCTGACCTTCTTGAGCGTGTCGACCTGAGAGATCATGGCAACGCCAGCAACGGGAATGGCCCAGAAGAGAATGAGGACTGTGATAAAGGCGGTGACGGCGTATCGGCGGACTACCTTCTGCCACCAAGGGATGGACAGAGACTTCCAAATGACCTCGCCAGGGGTGATGCCGATGTACCTTGGGCTCATATGGAGGGCGTGGTGGTGGGTGAGGACCTGGAAGGCAGCCTGGGCGTCAGACTGAGTGTAGAACTCGACAAAAACGGCACCGTTCTTGGCATAATTGCCGGCACGGTACTCGGCCTGAGCAGTGTCGACCTGAGGAATGAGCCTTTGGAGCTCAGCGCGAGCCCAATCGATCGAGTCAACCTTCTTGCCGTAGAGACCGAACTTGCCGAGGCGGTGGGTAGGGCGGCTCTTCTGAGGAATCCAGCGAGCGGCGACCTGACCAGGCTCGGCGTCGTTGGAGGGAGCAGGCTTGTCGGCAGAAGCACCATTCTTGATGGCCTTGAGGCGCTCCTTGTTGACGGCCTTGATGAGCTTGACCTCGGCGCCCTCGAGCTTCATGGCAGCCTTGTCACGCTCCTCGACAAGGTCGTCAAGCTCCTTCGTGGTGCCAGCGATCCAGAGATTCTTGACCGAATCGCTGAACAGCTTGCGCAGCTTGCCTTCCTCGAGATAGGCGGCAGGCACAGAGGTGAACAGCACGGTGCGCGAGGAGATGCGCTTGGCGTAGGTGGGCGACAGCAAGAAAGCCTGGCGCAGGTTGATGTAGAAGATGCACTCGCGGAAGATGGTGTACATGACAAAGCCGTAGAAGAGGGCGCCGATGAACGCGTGCGCGTAGAGGCGGTTCTTGTTTGAAGACTTGGTGATGTCAATGTTTGACATGCTCAAGATATTGAGTTCCTTCTGGCCGCCGCCGCCTGTCGCGTTGACGGGGAACAGGACGGGCCATGTCATGAGGAGACCGACGAGGCAGATGGTAGCGCAAATGCGCAGGAAGCGGAGGAAGAGGTAGGCATCAAGGGACTGGGACTGGAGGGCGACGACGTCGGGAATCTTCCAGAAGGCGCCGATCCAGTTGAAAAGACCGTTGGGCAGGGCGGGCGTCCGTTCCTGCTCACGCAGGCTGCCGAGATAGGTTCGAGGCGCGTAGAAGCGGCGCTTGCTTCTGCGCAGAATAAGGAAGATGGTGAAGAGCACGGTGGCAGTGATGATGACTGGCACGAAAGTCGAGACCATGCCTGGGATTTGGTGTCAGCGAGCACATTCATCGCCAGTTCACGATGTTTCGACGCGGAGAGTGTTATGGACGCACCAGAGAGTGAAGCCGTCTCGGCGCTGGAGTCGCGGGCTTCGCCCTGCGACTGCCGCTTGGAGAACCTGAGGGCGTCCATGATTGCGAGCGGTCGCGCGACGTCGTTAGAGGTGAATCGTCGTGACCTCGAACCAATTGCCGATGGAACGATGAGAGGTTGTTGGGTCAAGTCGAACTTCCGAGTTTGGAGGAAGAAAGCCGGCGACTAAGAAGGGGGGGATCAAGGGAGGAAAAGGTGGGAGAGAGCCAAGATCCAGCTGCCGATCCGTGTGACGCTGGCAAACGGCAGTGACGTGACCAGGGGGGGACGGGTGCTTGGACTAGGTACTGCACTGCATGCAACAACAGCCAAGCGACGCAATCGGGATGTGTCGATCTTGCCCTCGGCGAAAGAAGGGGCAGGATGAAGGACACGGTTGGTGTGATGCGTCAGGCGATTTTGTTCTGTTTTTCTGTGGTACCCTTTACCAAGTAACAAAAGGTTGGCAAGGTCAATGACAAGCTACAGCGAGCTAATGCTGCTAGCGTCAGGCCTTCGTTCCTCTTGTGATTGCGGGTGGAAAGTGATGTCTCGGTTGTGCTGTGAGATGGCGTAGAATCCCCTGCGGTACGCGCCGAGCATGGAGCACCTTAACCTGATCGTGTGTCGAGGAGGCAACAGGAAAAACCTGGCACCAGGGTCGCAGTCGACGGAGAGGGTCACTTGCTTCGTGGACCAGAGTAGGAGGCGAGACGAGATGGAATCATGCTCGAATTAATAAGGGTCCATCTGGAAAGGAATATCAGGGTTTTCTGATGCATCAGGACAACTGGGGTGTGCTGGGAGGGAACTGCAGGTTGGGTGGGTGACTGGCGCTGGGGATCCGGGAGCTGGTACATGGTACCGTCGCAGGGAAAGGGAAACTTGGCCTGGACAGGCTGGAGGAGCCTCTGCGCCTCCTCCTCGAACTCCAAAGGTCGAGCTTGAACGGGGGTGCCTTCTACGAACGTATGACGCAGATTTGCAGGAGGGATGACAACAGGGGCCAAGCCAGCCGTGACTGGCTACAAGGGGAAACTGAACCCCTGTCGAGCTGGACAGCTCTCCGCAGGACAGGGAAGCCGCCAAGGTCTGGAATGGGCGACGGTGGGTGGTGATTGCAGTGGCAGACCGCCTGATGCTGGTCGGTGCGCGGGTACTATTGCCCAAAGCTGCAGTTTGCATCTCCTGAAATTGGACTGTCTCCACATCAATGACGGTCACTGCCGTCCATTGAATCGGAAGACGAAGTGGGAAGTACCTTACTATGCCATGTACATGTAGCCCAGGCGTCAAAACTTTCCCACCACACCGTTCGTGCTTGCCTTGACGATCAACGTTCACGCTGGCGACCAGCAACTCTTGCCCCACACTCCCAAAGTGGCAGACCAGCACGCTCATGATCGTGGCAGGCGTCCTGAGGATGGAGGATGGATGTGCCTGCCGTGTCCGCTTCACACCACGCCCACTCGAGGGACCTTGAGAGGGCAAAGGTGTCCGGAACAACCATCACTAATCCATCACATCATGATACCTTATTCTTCTACCTGTCGCCTCGAGTGTGGACATCCCTTGCAACCTATCTGATGCCCAGGTCGCTGCAAATGCCCCGACGTTGCCTGCGTCCACGATCGACCAGGGGTTTTCTTTCCACGATCGAGACAGGATCCCCATCGAGTATGTACTTCAGTAGCTAGATACAGGAGTGATGCACTACGGTTATGGACTACTTCAACTCCAACCTCTCCACTGTCTGCTTGTGTCATGCCCTGTCATCCGAGCCTTCATTCCCCTCCTCGGATGCATAGTGCTGGAACAATGGGCGAAGCGTCTCCGTCTTCGTCATGCCTCACACACAGGACATGCGTCCTGCGAAACAAGACGGGCGGTTGTCGGTGTACGCGAGCGTGCTGTCAGGTCAGTACCCAAATCAATGCAAAGATAGTCCCTCTCTCTTTACCCTTTCTATGCCTAGCCCATCCTACCACCTTGGCCCACAGGTGCGCCAGCGACTGATTGACCAAAACCTTCCCATTTCCGGCCCTGTCGATGGTAAACCTTGATAACGCTTGGCCGGTTGTCCGTCCTGGTTCATCCCCCCCCCCCAAACTCAACAACCACATTTTCATCATCGTGATCGCGATTTCAATGCCGATAGCCCGGCATGCCTCAGCTGGACATCTTCATCACTGCCACAGTCTGGACAATTCGAGGAGAAGCCAGCTGATGAGCAGCACACATAGGAAACACTGCCGCACTCGCACCACGCCCGACAAGGTGCTCGGCGGGATACAGCTCAGGTCGAGAACGTTTCTGGCAGGCCTCCCGGTGACACGGCGCCTGCCCAAACCATGCCATCTATGCATCACCGTGGCCTGGTGGCTTTGTGACCCATCGCGTGGCCATCTCTCCGTGCTCCAACATCCCAAACGGTGTCTTTCTCGGAAATGGCCTTCATCAACATGGGAGTGGCTTAGACACTCCCACACAACATCCCCAGCTGAAGCGTGCATCGACTGGTCTCGTCCCCGCGGCTAGTGCCGGTGGTCACCCTTGATCGAAGCCACCCCCATGCCCGAGATGGCCCAGATCTACCCACTTGCATCCATGTGTCGTGCCCAAATGTCTGACAGCCTGATACATATACAGCACAGCTGCTGGCAAGCGCGTCGAGCGTGGCCTCACGCCTGAGACTCCTGGACTCTTCCTTCCGCAAGTCTCAGAAGTCTACTCGTCAGATCTCCAGGAATGATGAACAACAAGGTCAGACGCTGAGGGTCGGCGGCGTTCCCAATATGTTGTGCCACAAAGAATCAACTCGCCCCTTCACATTCGCGTCGCAATTTCAAATTGCCGAATGAAGGTCCATGTCGCTCGATGCAAGACCACCACCCGTTTCTGCACGGCTTTCGACAGTCTGCAGCAAGGGTACAGGGCCTCAGGCAACCTGGCCCGATCTGGCAGCGACGAGCCTGCATGGGAAGTCCTGGCGAGCGGTTTCTGAATGGCTTCAGAACGGGCACAATACCCGTCCGACATGATCATTCTCCTGCCGTCCTTCCTTCCGTCTTCCGACCCTCAATTGAAGCCACAGTTGACAACCTGTTGACCTCCTTTGCCACCATTCGGGGCTTGGCACAACGAATAGCCTATGTCTTGCTCCCTTGCTTACCCTAACCCTTTGTCTCCTTTGTCGGTTTATGTCCATGACTTCTTTGGCAACACAACTGCTTTCTTTGACGAGCAAATCACCTGGATGTTTGTTTGTCGAAAGCACTCGAACCCTTTCTTTGTTCAGATATATACACAGCATTGGTAGAATACCCTTTATCTTGGCTTGCTGATCAAGTTAATTGTGATAAACAAACATGTCCTCCGAGATGATTGACTCCTCCAGTTGCTCGTTGTTGAACATTCGCGACACTGACATCGCGCACTCTCTACACACGCCTTAATTGTTACATCTTTTCACGTTGCTTCACAAGTTCTGAGCTCTGGGCATAATGGCAGTGACCCCGACAGAAGCGCCAACAACACAGGCCCGGGGAGCTATTCCCAAGACTCAATATGCCACAGCGTACGAGTCGCGATATACAAAGCACTTTGGGCCTGGAAATCAACTCTATGGCCATGTCAACTGCGGTTATCTCTCGACACCCGGGCGCGCGCCGACACTCCTGGCTTTGAAGCAGCACGCACAGTCGTTGGCCATTCTCATTAGAAATATTTCGGTGAGCACGGCATTTGGCGAGGTCAACAACAAGAACCGAGGCCGTGGGCACACGACTCGCGAGTTCAGAGAGAATGAGGCTTTCGACTGGCTCAACGACCTCTCGCGGCCCTACACCAATACGGATGAGTGGCATCAAAAGCCTCTGACGGAGCTCATGAACCAAGTTCAGGGCGAAAAGAGTGGCCACCCACACCACCACTGTCCTCTTTCTACGCACGCCGACCTAGGACAGGACAGGGAGGGCCAGAGGCCACGACCATATGCTACCCACCATGCGCTCATAATGCACGCGAACGAGTGCCTGGAGATGCTTGATCACGAATACAGCGCCACGGGCGGTCTCATGTCGCTGCTGCCGACAGACGCAGCGGCCGATTCGGAGATGCTCCAGGCGGCACGCAACACGCTGCTGGGCCAGTGGCTCGTCTTCAACCAGCACCTCGTCGGGCGCATGCACGAGCTCGAGATTGCGTACGGCAACTCGCTCGACGCACTGCGTGGAGAAGCCGTGGTCCCGATGCAGAACCTCTCCATGATGGTGCCCCGAGGCGCGGGCGCGTCGTCAGGGGCGGGCAGCTATGGGCGCGAGATTGCGTATCCGCAGGACCGGTGGATTCTCTGCAACGCGGGCGACGACGTGTTTGAATACGTGCACAAGGTGCTCGACCGGCAAGAGGCGCTGATCGAGCCGCGGGAGAGGGCGTGGCGGGAGCACGGGGTCACGGGAGAGCGGATGTGGCAGGAGCGGCGGGGCGGGGAGCAGCACGACGCGGGCCTCGTGGTGTGGGACGTCAAGACACGGTACATCCGGCTCCGGGGCAAGGCGCGGTCGCCCATCTTTGTGATTCCGGCGCACGGCGAGCACCCGGGGGTGGCGGAGACGCGGCGGCTCGAGGCGGCGCCGGGGGTGGTGTCGGTGGTGACGCCGACGTGGCCGGCGCGGGTGTCGGACTGGGAGCAAAAGTTCCGAGACGCGCTGCACGAGGGCAAGAAGCGGTCGATTGCCAACTTTGAGCTGCGGGCGGAGAACGACAAGCTGCGCGAGAAGACGTCGCTGCTGGAAGAGGAGCGGCAGAAGCTGCAGCAGACGACGGCGCGGTACGAGCAGTACTACTCGGGAGCCGAGACGGAGAGCGAGGTCAAGGCGGTCGAGGCGAGGATGCGACGTATGCACGACGACTTTATCAAGCTGCGCAGCGAAAGGGATGCGACGGTAGAGAGAGCAACGGCGACGACGGCAATGGCGAGGCGGATTATGCAGATACTCGAGAAGGAGATGCCGGCGAAGTATACTGAGCTCATGAAGGCTTTCCCGGTGGGCGAGGAGGAGCAGGAAGGGCAAGAGAAGCAGGCCAAGTGGGACAAGCCAAATGTGGATGCCGCCGAGTTGCAACCTGGCGACTCGGACTCTGAAGGCGTAGGCAGTGACGAGGAGCAGGAGTAGGAGCAGATTGTTGGTGTGTAGGCGTTGAAGTGAGGAGGGTTGTCTGTCGTTGTCACGGGATGCTCTATCTGGTGTTTTGGACGGGAGTAGCTAGGTAACCAACCGCATGAGGTAGGTAGGCAGGTAGTTTTCGTACGTTGCTTTTCCCGAGACGAGACTCGAGAGCTGTGACTGTGACTGTGATTGTGCCTGTGGTGCCTCGCTTATCATGTCGGACGTGTGCTGCCATGCAGTGAGTGCAGGGTGCTGTCCATGTTCCACGAGGGTTGAATGAGGGATGGCTGGGGGGGGAAGCACATGTCAGACAATGGTGATGGATGCGATGAGAAACACGGGTAGCTACAAGGCAAGGTACCCACCTACCTCAGGTAGGTAGGTACAGTCATACGACAAAAGTAATAGCGGAGCTCCAATTTACACTAAAATATATAGTTTTCTAGCCTTTCTAGCTTATTCTATAAACTAGATTAAATCTTTATATTAATAATACTATTAGAACTTTACTAAGTCTATAATCTCTATTATTTAGACTATTAATATCTTCTATATTATATAAGTAATAAGGGCTTAAAGTTAAATAGCTCTTCCTATACTATTATTCTTAATTTTATTAATTATAGGAACTAGCTATAGCTACCTTTTCTATTATATTAAGTAGTAAGGGATTTTCCCTATTTAATAGTATTAATATTATATCTTAAAACTTTTTATTAAATTCTTTATTTTTAAGAATCTTACTACCCTAGCTTTAAGTCTATATATCTAAGTAAATACTAGCCCTTTAAGTATACTATATCATTATAGTATAAGCTTAGTAAGGTTCTAGTAATATTACTAATATAAATATTTAATCTAATTTATAGAATAAATTAGAAAGGCTAGAAAACTATATATTTTAGTGTGAATTGGAGCTCCGTTATTACTTTTGTCGCCCCACTGTAGGTACTATGTAGGTACTTGGTAGCAGCTTGGCTGGAAGCAGCTCCCTAATAAAACGGGGCCAGAAAATGAGCTGCGATAAGCTCTGTGCCTGCAGCGGGGTCGCAGCCAATGGCTCTGTCCTGATAAAGCTCGGGTGGGTTCGTCGCCGGGTCAACTGGGAACTGAGAAGCACCTGCCGCAGGGCAGAAGACGCATCCAAGGCATCCCACAACAAAACAATGGGGACCCTGTATCTCGAATCCTGAATTGCCTGTCTTCAACCAGCCTCCATGCGCCGCCTCACCCAGGCCGAGACCAACTGACATCCACCCCAGGCCACCCTGCAGAGGCAGAACAAAAGCACCCACCAGTGACGAGCCACCATCGTTCCACACCCATCTGCACCATCATCGTTCTAGGCTCGGTTGACCGGCCTCCCCAAGAAAGACTGGTGGCGGGGCACGGCGCTTGTCACCCCTCTGAGGCATAGTCAAGTCACCTAGCTAGCTACCTTAGGTCAGGCAAGTTGTCGTCGTGTTGACATTGGGAAACCTGGTTGCTGTCGATGTTTGCAGCGTCGTTGTAGTCTCTCCTCCTTCCTGCCTGCCAGTTCTGGCTCTGTTTCGTCAGAAATACTGCCTGCCTGTATATCCCGCGAAACCTCCCCCCTCCTCCTTCCCACTCGCTCCCATGGTTCCTGCACTGTCCGGGGTGTGTATGATTAGCTGCTTTCTGTGATTTGGCAGCCTTGTTTGTCATCCTGGTCTGCTTTCCTCTTTTCCCCTCCCCCAGACGAGCACGACACTTTCCTACTTCTTTCCTCGTGCTCTGGCCTCTTCGTGGGCCTCGTCTGTTCTGTCTTCTATTCGTCCCCTTTCTCTGCGAACCTGTCGTCACGTCTTCGTCCTGATTCGCAGCTCCTGTTGCTGCTGCATCTTCATTTGCTCATCAGTATTTTGTCGTTGTCGTGATGACAACCTGAAGGGGGGAGCGGAAACATCACGACACGAGGTCACCATCCGCCAAGGCAAGGCAAGACAAGACAAGAGACGGAGAGCGAGACGAGGCAAGCAAGCAGACAAGCAAGCAACTGAGCAATCAAGAGAAGGACAACGGGCATCATCGACTTGCGACAGCCCCAACAATGCATTGAAACGATCGCAGATCTGCGCATCGGTCAAAAATCACCCCCCCATTCCTCCCACAAGCACCACCACTTTCGACGACAACCCACGATGCCGTCGCATCCATGGAAGCAAGCCGTAGCTGTCACCAGTGATGCAGCCACCCGAGTGACGGCGCTGCTTGCCGTCGTCGCCCTTCTGCCGGCCGTCGCCTCGACCGCCCAGACGCTTCCCTACATACCGACGACCGTGCTCCTGCCAGATCGAACCTCATCCAACGGCAGCGACATCGCCTACATTTTTCGCCCCTCCACTGCATCTTCCGACGGCAAGACGCATGTTGACCTCCTGTCGATCAAGATCTCAGCCACAGTCGATGGCGACACCAGTATTGAAACCATTTCCTCCGACCTACCCTTCTTGCGCAACGCCAAGGACACGACAGCCTTCCTGCCGACTGTGGCCGACAATGGCACCATTATCGTGCAGGCCGGCGACTGCGCCGCTGCTGGCGGTTTCGACGTCTGGACCTACACACCCGCAGACATGGCCTCCGACTCGAGCGACGGGTCCTGGGAAAAGGCTGCTGCCAACACCGCCAGCGATACGAGCGACAGCAACGACGATGAAGCCCAGCCTAACCCACACTTTCTCGGCGCCGCCATCAGCTACTCCTCAGTTCTGGCCCCCGTCATGTCTGATCCCATTCTGTACTCCTATGGCGGCATGTGTTCGACACCCTCCGAGGACGCATCATCTTGGCAGTCGGCCGCCAACTACTCGAAGCAGATGGTCCGTGTCGCACGAGACAGCGCCAGCGAAAGCGAGCTGAGCTACACGGCATCTCTCATCACCTCCAAGGGCCCAGCCTTCCCCGAGGCCGGCTTCTCACTGACCCCCCTGAGCCCTTCCATCACCAACAGATCCGATACCATCACCCAGCAGCGCGGCTACGTATTGCTCGGCGGCCACACCGAGACGGCCTTTATCAACATGAGCACTGCAGCAATCTGGAATCTACCGGCCGAGTCGTGGTCTTTCCTCTCCATCAACGGGCCCGACAGTGGTCTTCCCGGGTCCGAGCTCGCCGTCAAGGGCGTCTCGAGGAGAGCCACGCCATCGTCCGTCGACAGTCGATCAGGCCACACAGCCGTGCTCAACGAAGCGGGCGACGCCCTCGTCGTCCTTGGTGGCTGGGTTGGCACCGTCGCCCACGCCGCCGATCCGCAGCTCGCCGTGCTGAGGATGGGCAATTCGTATGGCGAGTGGGCGTGGGAGATACCAGATGGCCAGCCGCAGGGGTCGGGTGTCTACGGCCACGGCGCCGTCCTGCTGCCCGGTAATGTCATGATGACCTATGGCGGGTTTGAAATATCCGGGTCAAGCAGCAAGGTCAAGAGGCAGCAGAACAGCGGCTCGCCTCGGTTTCTCAACCTGACCTCCTTGTCCTGGGGATCAAGCTACACGAATCCGTCATCAAGCTCAAGCTCGGGAGGGACTGGTTCGGGAGCTTCAGAGGGAAGCTCCAAGAATGACAACATAAACGAGACTATGAAAAAAGTAGGCCTCGGTGTCGGTCTCGGTGTCGGCCTCCTCGCTGTCATTGGTGCCATTATCGTGTGGTTCTGCTACCGAAAGCGGATCAGGAAGCAGAGACAGGATCGCGATCGAGCGGTGCAGGGTCTGGCGCAGGATGCTGCGCGCTTCCTGCACGCTGACGATGAGATGGTCGAGAGAGACGATCCATGGTCGTCCAACTCGTGGTACACGGGCGGACACGACCCCTACGACCAAAACTCGAGATCTCTCGGATACGAGACGTTGAGGAACAATCGCAGCTTACTCGGAGGCTACGGCGGCAACGCGCCAGCCGGCCTGCTCATCCCAAGAAAACCTGTCATATCCAAGGCTGCAAGGGGCGCCTACCAGCCCACCGCCTCGCGCCCCAGCAACCTGCCAACGGCGGGCCACATTCATCCGATCTATGAGGCCGATGAAGAAGCCCCCGACGGCCCCGTTCTCATGCGAGACCCGGATATGGGACCCGAGACACCAACATCGCAAACGTATTCTGATCCTTTTGCCACACCGAGACACTCGGGCATTGAAGCATCTACATCCGCCGCGGCTGGGCCCATCGCCTTTTTGCCCCCCAATCGAGCCGCTCTCACGCCGAGCCCCGACCGAAACCACCAGCGGGGCTTTGTCGATCCGGAGGTCCAGGACTGGCAGTCGGACGTCGATGCCGCCGAGGCCCTCTTCGCGCAGATGCCTCCCCGCGCAGGCCGCGGCTCGCCCACACGCCGCGCCTCGATGCGCTCTGCCCGCTCCGGCACCACCGGTCCCGATGACGAGCGCACGGGCAGCGGCCTCTCTGACTCGAATCGAAGCACCTTCAGCAGCCTTCTGTCGCGATCCGGATCAGCCGCTGGCACGGCACGATCTTACACGCCATATCGCGCGTCACCAACTCACACGGGCACGCTGCTCTCAGCCGGCGGCGCCAACAATAATGATGGCCGTCTCGGCACGTCGGGTTCTGGCTCAGGTTCAAGCTCAAGCAACAGCGCCCACACCTTCTCCACGGCCAAGAGCAACTTCACCTCGCTGCAGGCTGAGGGCCCCTCGCTGCTCCTCCGCGGCGAGAGGTCTAGCCCCACGCGGGAGCAGCACTATCAAGGCGGCCACGCCCGCGGCTCAAGTTACCCCCACCACGGCGACGACGATGACGAAGAAGACAACTTCATCGTCTCCGGCAGCCCCAGCAAGAGCAAGCCCCGCCGCGGCAAGGGCTGGCTCGGCAGCTTGCGGCGCGTCTTCAGCGTCTCGAACGGTGGCAGCCCCGCCGACAGCAGCGTTGGCAGCATTTCGCCGGCGCGGCGGTCATCACTCGACGGCCGCGACGAGCTCGTGTCCACGGCATATGAGTCGCGACTCGGGCTCAGCGGCATCGGCGGCGCCGAGCTGCTGAGGCGGAAACAGGGTCGTAGCGGATGGCAGGACGGCGAGGGAGTGAATGACGCCGGCGGTAGCGGTGCCCGTGGCGGAGATGAGGGTCCGCCGCCGGGCGTGAGTGAGGAGGATTGGGACATCGAGAGGGCCATTGAGAAGAGGCTCGTGCAGTTCATGTTCACCGTGCCCAAGGAGCGGTTGAGGGTCGTCAATGGTGACGAGGCGAGCATCGACGATGGGGCCTCGGCTGTGGATCCGGAAAAAGTCGGACTCGCGTTGTCCCCTTCGCCTGAGGAAGCGGAGCGACAGCGGGAGCGTCCAGATGTCACCACCGGAGGATTCGACCCCAGGTCTGCGCCCTCGCCGGAGCCGTTGAGGATTCAGAAGAAGAAATCGGTGGAACCTGTTGAGGAGGTAATGGACGAGAAGGCGGGGGCGCCTTCTGTGGCGACCCCGCCACCGTCTTCTTCTTCCTCGTCCATTTCAATCGCCGACGAGGACCTGTGGGCGCCGGCCCGGGGCCGCGAGCTCAGGGTCCCATCGGCGGCCAGCGAGCGCGAGCTGAAGCGCATCTCGACGACCGAGTCGGGCATCAGCGAATCGGAGCCGCGGCCAAGCCTGACGCTGCGGACGGCCGAGGCGGTACGCATCGAGAGACCCAAGACGAGGGTGCTGAGGATGGTCGAGAGCTTTGAGGTGAAGAGCCGCGAGGGGAGCCCGAGTCCCACTCGGGGATCGCCCTGATAGAGGAGGTACTGTCAGGGTAAGCAGCGGATGAAAACAAAGTTTGGCATGCGCACGTTGAGATGAGGAAGGAAGGGGGACATTTGATTTCGGGCTCGGGGACCGGCGCGAACACGGGTTTGGATGTGTCTGTGTCTTATTTTGCTAAATATGGGAAGCTGGGACAGCACGGGGCTGGATGGTGTTTTTGGTCGGTCGCTTTCGGCTTTGAGCCTTGCGTGGAGTACATGTCTTTGGCTTTTCGTGGTTTTGTATAGCTACCTAGGTAGAAATGTCTACTGGTTGAGCTCGATATGGCCTCCCGTATTTAGCGCTAGCTTTTTTCCTTCCGGTGGATGCACCCGTCTGTACGAGGTATACCTAGGTACTCAGGTGGTTTTTTGTTGATGCCTCTGAATCGTAGCGGTGTTGGTATGCAGATATCGGGCTTCCCTATAAAGCACTTGATGAATTGGTCGGTCTAAGCTCGGATTCAAGTTTTCATGGAGGGTTCTACAGCACGAGTCAACTAGACTGTATGAGGCTTCGTCTGGGCTGTCCTCGATGAAAATTCTTTTTTTTAGCCAATTCTTTACATCAGTCCTCCTGTACACAATGCTCGGCCGGCCGTTCTCAGGACGGCCCCACTCGGCGTCCGTGTCAGTTTCGGCCGAACTGTCGGCGGACGCCAGAGCTCCTCTCGGCGCCTGTAACGAGACACTTCCCATATATGCGCTTTATACTTCACTCGGCTTTTGTGATATCACCATGTTCGGTCGCCTGTTGCGCCCTCAGTTGAAGGGTCCTTCAGGGTTGAGAGTCTCCGAGCCGACTACCTGCAGGCTGACATCTTGCAGAGCGACTGGTAGATTGTGCCCAGGCATCCCAACATTGACCCCGCTGATGCTGAAGCTTCTGGCACCGCTTCCGTCTCCAGCTTTCTGCTGACTCTGCACTTGGGGACGCTGAGCGTTTCGGACGAGTGGCACGAGCTGTGCCCGAGATCAAATGTGCGGGGCTGGATGAGTTCCTGGCCGAGGTTTGGCGTGGGAGGCCGTAGGTGTTTACGAAAAAGCGCTGATGATTGCCCTCGTAGTTTAACCTACTGCGAGCTCTGCCGTCCGGCTCCATGTGATGGGTATTGGAATGGGAGTGAGCCAAGCCAAGTCATCGTCCTCACGGTGGTCGGTTCATCGTGACTGTACAAAAATCAGCTGAGCGAGAGAAGCAAAGCAACAGGAGAAGCGAGACTACCGACTGATTCCGTGCATCCGACTGCGACACAGATTCGTCCCCAGAATAGCAGCATGCCAGTGAGAACGGGACAATGGTCATCATGAGCATTCGGGCGAACATGCACTGCGACAAGAAAAGGGTATAATAAAGGAGTGTAGTATGATATTAATGCTGAAAACCCGCTACCCAGTAAAGGAAGGACCAAGAACCCCGCTAAAATCCAAACCAAAATCTATGTCTCTTAAGGAAGGGATGAAGAAAGAAGAAGAAGAAGAAGAAGAGGACGGAAAAAGAACCGCCAGCTCACTGCTCAGGGTGCCACTTGCCATCATCATAGGGGGTTCCCTTGCCCTCGTACTTGCCCTCGTGCCACTTGCCATCGTCGTAGGGGGTGCCGGCGCCCTCGTACTTGCCAGGGTACCAGCTGCCATCATCCTCCCTCTTCTCCTTAGCACCGGGGTACTTGCCAGGGTACCACTTGCCATCGTCGTAGGGAGTGCCAGGGCCCTCGTACTTGCCCTCGTGCCACTTGCCATCGTCGTAGGGGGTGCCGGCGCCCTCGTACTTGCCAGGGTACCAGCTGCCATCATCCTCCCTCTTCTCCTTAGCACCGGGGTACTTTCCAGGGTACCACTTGCCGTCATCGTAAGGAGTACCAGCGCCTTCGTACTTGCCCGGAGCCCACTTGCCATCGTCGGCACGCTTTGCCTTGGCACCGGGATACTTTCCGGGGTACCACTTGCCGTCGTCGTAGGGGGTACCGGCACCCTCGTACTTGCCCGGAGCCCACTTGCCATCGTCGTAAGGTGTACCAGCGCCCTCGTACTTGCCGGGCGCCCAGGATCCGTCATCGGCGCGCTTGTCCTTGGCGCCGGGATATTTGCCAGGGTACCACTTGCCGTCATCGTAGGGGGTGCCGGGGCCCTCGTATTTACCTGGAGCCCATGAACCATCGTCGGCGGGCTTGGCGGTGGGGAGGGCGAGGGCCGTGACGGCGAAGGCGATGAGAGTAAGGGAGTAGCGCATTTTGAAGTGTGGAGGTATGGGTATTAGGTGTTTGGTGTTGTGTAGATGAAGGCGGGGTTGTGGTATAAGTGAGATTGTCGTGTAAGTGATGGTAGATGAGATGGATATATGAGGGCGGACGATGCTGTGAGTGATGAGAATGATGAGAAACAATGGATGGTGGCGACAGATCATGAGATCTTATATAGGTGCAACACTCCAGCAGCTACTCTTCCACATGTCTGTGATGCGATACGATTGATGTTGTTGGCCTACTGTACGGCTCGAGTCTTGGTGTAAGCTTCCCATGGTCTCCGCCTCCGCCTCCACCAGCACATACCCTATCCTACCTACCTAGACAAGTAGGGACATAGGTAGGCCACCCTAGTTGGTGGGCTGCTGCAGAGTGGGCGCAGCTTCACCGACTGCTGGGCCTACTCAGCCTTACGCCTAAGTGTCCGCGGGGGGGCTTGCGATCTGACGATCTGACGGGGTTTCTTACGAATATCCTCGGTGGACTCGACGGCCAACGCGACTCCCGATGGGGACAAGCTGAGCACATGGGGGAAGCTTAAACACCGCGACCAGCGGGCCAGCAAGCCACTTGGCAAGCCACCTGGCGTTGCTATTTTCAGTCGTGTCTGTGGTCGTTGGGTGCATCCTTCGGCCGATCGGGTCTAGCGCCAACGGCAGCGTCATCCACTTCCCCAGCTTACGGGCTCTGCTCCGCCTGGCAGGCGGACTCGCCCCAATCGCGAGACGGCGCCGCGTGGCCGAATGTCTAGCCTTTGCATCCGTTGGTGTGCTTGCGGCTGAGCAGCCGACCACACCAACTCTGGCGAGCCATGTCGAGTGCTGACTGTTGTCCTGACGTCGACTGTTGCCCTGACGCCGACTGTCTCTTTCCCCCTCCGCCATTCGCATACGGTAACGTAACAGCGTCCAGTCGGCATCGCCATCGTGGCTTGCAGCGTCCAGTCGGCATCGCCATCGTGGCTTGCATTTGCACCTTTCGAGCGGCGGCCGAGTGCGGGTGCTGCGGGTGCTGCGGCGATCCGGCCTGGGTTTTGCTCGTGACGGGCTGCCTTGGTCATCTGGGCTCCCAATGTCTCTCACCATGGCGGACGAAGCTCCCACGCTGTCTCGGCGGATACGCTTCCGGGCCGTGCTGGTGGTGGACGCCTCGAGCCTTCTCCGGGACCACATGTCAGTCACACAGAGAGAGGCTCGTGTCCCGGAATAGCCAGCCTCGACAATGAGCCCCTACCACGGCACGGCGCGAATGAAGCTTCGGGCCGAAACGGACTATGGCTTCAAGGCTGCAGCCGGTCTCAAAGTCGCGATAGCGCCATGTTCTGCAAGCCAACAGTCCACCGCTCTTCAGAGTTACGGTCAGTCGCCCCCGGAGACATCTCGTGGGAAGACGTACGGCATGGTTGGTGAGACAGCCGCCTGGAGCTGGATCTTGTGCTGAAGCATGCTGTGTGCTTGACCGCTCGCGATGACGAAATGGTTGGACTTGGCACTGGATCTGTCAGTCAGCACTACTTCGCCGGGCCTCCATGTTGTGTCACGTTCCATTCGGCAACTTGGATATGTTCCGAGCCGCCCTCCCTGACGACCTCGTATGTGCTCGAAGGCGTTTCTTGGGTGATCAGTAACGGTACCTTAGGTTCACGTCATCATGCCAAACCACTAGCCTGTCCCTCGAATTGCGGTGCACGACGAGGCCGAAAAGCCGGAAAGAGCCGAGCCTGGGAACGTCATGATTCAAGGGAAGGCAAGGCCTCGGGATTCGAAGGAAATGTCGAGAAAAAGGAAGTGCGCGGGCTTTGATGATTGCAATTGGTTCTCTTCGAGCATGCCGACAAGGTCAGTAACTTTGTGAGTTTCGATTGCGATAAGGAGATAATGAGGAGGTTATTTGCGTCCATCAAGCCAATATGACGCTGCGTTGTGATACCTGTCAGGTTCTGCCAGCGGGGTGACTCGGAGCAGCAGTGACATGCCTTCTCAGGCGAGTACGTGTACAAGTAAGGCTGGGAAGTAACGCAACGAAATGCAAGACATTCGGGGTCGTACGGGGCAGGGACAACCCCAACCCACGTCCTGTGCACCTGCCCTTGGAACGCGCTGGCGGCACCTGCTGACAGGCATCCCCGTCCCTGCCCCCTGCCCCCTGCCCCCTGCCCCAACCCCCCTGCCCCAACCCCCCTCCGGCGCGCCCATTCGTCCGCCGAAGCACGGCGGAAGGGAAGTACAAGGACAGCCAAACGCATGAACATTTGTCCGTTTTTCGGGCGAAACGCCCCAGTCAGCAATTCACTGATTCAAACAACATGCGAGAGATGCTACCCCCAAAATCCTTGCCAGATTGCATAAATTTGCTTGTCCTGAAAACTAATCTCTTAAGGAAACCTCTCTTTAAGGAAACCTGCGAAATGAACTCTACCCTTTCAACCGCTTCCAGGCATGCGGAATCCACCCTTGTCTGTTAGCCCCCGTCTCGACGTGGACCCGGTCGGACCAGGGCGTCTCGGAGTCGGCGCCACGAGCGCGGACACAAACTTGGGCACCTTCGGCTTCGCCTAGGGGGTCATCCGGCCACGGCACGTACACAGAGTCTGAAGGGCCTACAGCGAAGCGCTTCGGCTCGCTGCCGCCGCGCATGATTTCGACGTCGTAGCTGCTCTGGGTCCAGTCTTGAACCGTGCCATTGAATCGCCATGAGACTCTAGGCTCGGTCTAGGCTATGCCGAGGGCGGAGTGGTGATGCTCGAAAGACAGGCGGCCAATGTTGAGGGCCATGTTGAATTGGTGAACAGGAACCCTGGGCCATCCGAGGTGATGACTCTGCTTCATGTTGGCCAAACCCGACTGATTTTTAACCTCGCGGATAGGTGATCCTCGCAAGGTGATACTCCGATCCTGGTCATTTCGATCGACATGTCGCTCCCATCTGTCGCGAGATGCCCGATTTGCACAGCATGGTTCCCCAAAGATTTGGCGTTCTATCGGCCTGAGGATGTGGATTTGCGGGGTAGACTGCTTTTACGAGGTCCTCGAACGCGGGGTTGCATCGTGATCGACGGGCCTTGGCTGACGAACACAGCTTCCGGGACTGCTCTGGCACCTTCCCCTATGGAGCCAGGACATGGGATGACTCTGGGTCTCCAGACCATTGCTTACAAGATCGAACAGCTGGGCGCACTGGCGAGGGCGTTGCTAGGGTGCAGGCCCATGAACGTGCCAACAGGAAATGCCGTGGGTCTTCAGCCGTAGCGGTGCAAGGTAACAAGGAGTTCGAGGCTGCTTTGAGATATAGATCTCGAAGTCACAACAGACCCGGATAATCTTGGCCTGACCCCGTGGGGAATACCCTTGCCACGCCTTCTCTTTTCGACATGTCCCCCTCCGCATGTTCTCGCGGATGAGAAGACCAAGAAAGTCGCCTCCGGGCATGTACTCCATGACGAGATAAAGGTTCGTAGCGTCCTGAAAGCTGGATATCAACTGGACTATCCTGCAAAATATCAGTACATCCGAAATGGTACACCAACAGCGCTGATGCTGGGCTGCCTCACCATTCAGAGGTCTCGGACGCAATGAGGAAGTCCCGCTCGGCTCGTAGGTGGCCTTCCTGGGAACTGCGGATCATGTCTGTCTTTCTGATCACCTTCATGGCGTACACATTCTTCTGGCGCCGTTGACCGCTCTGGAGGTCTCCGTCACCTTTTTCTCGAACCAGGCGTACAACGCCAAAGCTTCCCTTGCCCAAGTTCTTGAGCGTCGAGTAGTTCTTCACGCATGGTCCTTGGCCGTTATCGACAAGGCGATTAGCAGCGCGAAGACTTTCCCACTTCAGAACCCTGGACTGCCGCAGAT